CCTCCTCTCTCTTGCTCTGCTCCCTCTCCTTCCATTCACTGTTCTCTCCCCTCTGCTTTGATACTCTCTAACCTCCCTTTCTCCTCTCATCTCCCCTCCCTCCTCTTTCTTTCTTCTTCCTCTCCCTCCCTCTTTCTTCTCTCTCTCCTTCCTCCCTCCACTTTTACTTTCACCTCTCCCTTCCTTTCCTCCTTCCCTTCCTTTCTTCTCTCTCCTTAAACTCTCTTTTCCTCTCCATTTCTTTCCTCCCTTCCTACCTTCCTGCCCTTTTCCACCTTTCACTCTCTTCTCTTCCCTTCGCCTCCTGTGGCTCTATCTTCTCTTCTCTTTCTCTCATCTTTCTTGCCTTCCTCTCCTGCTGCTCTTCCCCTCCCTCTTCCACCCTTTTCCCTATCTCTCTTTCCTCTACTGGGACTTCTTATTTCCCGGTGACTGAAGTAGATAGATCACTGGAGTCAGGAAGATCTGAGTTCAAATCTAGCAGCATAACCCGGGAAAAGTCCCTTAATCTCTGTTTTCCTCAGTTTCCTCAGCTATAAAATAGGAATCATAAGAGCACCTACCTCCCAGGTCGGATCAAATGAAATAATATTTGTAATGATTAGCACAGTGCCTGACACATGATAGGCACTTTATAAATGCTTATTCCTTTCCATTCCACCTCCCTTTCCCCTACTCAGTTCTCAAGCAGAAAAAAAAATCTAAGCTATCCAGCGGAATTGGAAAAAAAACTCCAAATCACTAATGATTAGAAAAATGTAAATTAAAACAACTCTAAAGTTCCATTTCACCCCAATCACTTTGGCTAAGTTGACAAAAAAAAGGAAAATGATAGAAGAACTGTGGGAAAACAGTAACATTGATACACTGTTGGTACAACAATTATGAATTAGTACAGCCATTCTGGAGAGCAATTTGAACTATATCCCAAAAGTTACTAAAAAGTACATGCCCTTTGACTCAGCTGGACCATAGCTAAGTACAGATAGAGGACCTCTGATGTCCCTTGAATTCTTGAGATTCTGGGATTTTTCCCTGTATGCACAAATAAGCAATAACTGTAAGATAATAATAAAATAATAACTTCTAGGTGACATAGATACAAAACCAAACCTGGATTCAGGAAAATCTGAGTTCAAATTCAACCTTAGGCCCTTAGTAGCTAAGAGATCAAAGAAAGAGGAAAAGGTTCCATATTTACAAAAATATAGTAATTTTTTTTCATACAGGCAAAGAACTAGAAACTAGAGGGTGCCCATCGATTGGAGAACAAATTACGGTATATAAATGTAATGGATTGCTTTTTGTATTAAAAACCATTAAAAAGGACAGTTTCAGCAAAACCTGGGAAGATTTGTATAAACTGATATAGAGTGAAGTGAGTAGAACCAGAAGAATAACATTATAAAAATGAGCAATTTTGCAAGACTTAAGAACTCTGATTAATATAATTACCAACCTTGATTCCTGAGGACCTATGATTAAGAATGGTATCACATTTTCTGACAGAAAGGTGATGAACAAACATGCAGAATGAAACAGACTTTTTTGGACATGGTCAATGTATGAATATGTTTTGCTAGATGATGGATATTTATTATAAGGGAGTTGTTTTTCTTTTCTTTTTTCCCAATGAAGGCAGAGAAGGGGGGGGGGGACTATAAATGCTTGATAATTGAAAAAAAAGATTTTAATTTAAAAATTTTTTTGAAAGAATTTCTCCTGCTTTTTTCATTTTTCCCTGATGCATATAATGGGTGCTACCCTCTCTCCCTTGACCTGGCAGCATCATCCTACTGGGTCCCCATTCTGTCATGATGGCAATTTGTAGTAGTGATCTCTCACTACAAGTCATTACCTTAGACAGCCAATTTTTCCACATTCTTCTCTCCATAGTACAATCCTTCAAGAAGCTGAAAGAGGGCAGAAGCAGGGAAAAATCCCTAGGTTGATGTGTAAAAGATGTATAAGCCTTATCCTAAATCCTTATCTGATCTGAAGGTGACTGTAATCAACAACTGAAGTTCTAGCAGCTCTCTATCCCTCTAGAAAGACATTAACCATGGACCTCTAACAGAACGAGGGTCTTCCAAGGCCAGCCTGGCAAAATTCAAAGATGAGAATTGCCAGAGCGTTGGCTACCAAGTGAGTTATCTTTTGTCTGCCCTTGTGAAATCATGGATCTTTTGAAATATTGGAAGCACAAACTCATGAGGGGGAGGAAGTAGGAAAATAAGCATATACATATATTTGTGTATGTATGTGTGTATATATATATATATATATATATATATATATATACACACACACATATATATATGTATCATCTACTATGTGCCAGGCATTATACTAAGCACTTGGCTTATATGAGATATTTTTGCAAACTCTGTCTCATTTATCCTCACAACAACCCTGGGAGAAAGGTGCTATTATTATCCTCATTTTACAGTTAAGAAAACTGAGGTAGACAGAGGTCAGGTGATTTGCCCAGTCACACCACTGGTAAGTGTCAGGGATCAGATTTAAACTCAGGTCTTCCTGATTCCAAGTCCAGTGCTCTATCCACTGTACTACCAGCTATCTCTCAACTAATAAGTGGAATATTATCCCCATTGATCAAGTATTCAATTAAAATATATATTTTTAATTTATTTTGAATTATCAGCAATCACTTCCATAAGCTTTTGAGTTTTAATTTTTCTCCCCCTCCCTCCAAACCTCCCTCCCCAAGATGGTGCACAATCTGATATAGGCTATACATATATATTCCTATTAAACAAAAATATACATTTCTTGCTGCAGATGGTGGTGGGCACGTTGGGAGATGGAAGGAAGTGTAAGACAGTCCCTATTATGATCAGTTTCTAGTGCAGTGGGGAAGATGAACCATACACAGGTGTAGAGGTAAGTGACCGTATAAGGCAGTATATAATCCACATCTAATATTTCCTGTTCCTTTGCTCAGCTATTCCCAGGCTTAGAATACCTTCTCCTACCTTGGCCTACCAATCTAGCGCATTCATCAAGTTTCCTCCTAGCTACCACTATCTCTGTTTTACCTCCCAGTTAAAATGATCAGACCTTGCAAAGTCCTTTATATCTTTCTAGTATCCCCAGGGCTTAACCTAGTGCCGGTTGCATAGTAGGCCCTCTGGGGGTTGACTTATTGACTTCTTATGCATATATTTAATGCTCTTAAGAGGGGCTGCATGGTTTCTTGGCTAATGCTCTGAACTTGGAGTCTAGAAGAACTGGCTTCGAATTCTACCTCTGACATAAGCCATGTGACTGGAAGCAAGCCATTTAAATTCTTTAAGTCCCAGTTTTCTTTTCTAAAGATAACAATAATTGTTGTTTTTATTTATTGCTTTAAGGTTTGCTAAGCACTTTACAAATATTATCTCATTTGATTCTCACAACAAACCTGGGAAGTAGGTGCTATTATTAACCCAATTTTACAGATGAGGCAACAGAGGCAGATAGAGGTTAAGTGAAAGTGACTTGCCCAGGGTCATATAGCTACCAAATGCCTGAGGCTAGATTTGAACTCAGATCTTCCTGAATCCAGGTGCAGTGCTCTATCCACTGTGTCACCTAACAGTTATTATCTCTTTCACATTGGGAGAGTTAGGGGCAAGGCACCCCTGCGATCTAGAAAATCTGCATAAAATTTTTTGGCCCTGCCTTTGTACCAGAGAAGTCTGAATTTTTTCTTTCTTTTTTTTTAATGGGGTGTTTACAGTACCTTATTGTAAAATTGGGCTTAGTATTTAGTCATAGGCTACATATTGTCTGCTGGCCTTTGGGTGTTATCTGCAGCTTCCACAAAACTCCCCCACAATTCCCATTTAATTTCTAATGCCAACTCAAGATATGTCAAAACTGCGATTGAGAAAAAGTCCAGATGTGGAAGGGATAACTGTATCATCCTTAGGAACAGCTAGGTGGTATAGTGGATAGAGTGCCAGGCCTACAGTTAGGAAGACTCGTTTTCCTGAGTTCAAATCTGGCCTCAGAAACTTCCTAGCTGT